AGGATGCTGGACTAGAGGGACCCTCGCTGCTCTGAGTAATAGGAAGCGGCTGGCATCCCCTTCTGGGCCTGTGCTGCCACCTGCTGGATCCAAGCCGAATCCCTGTAGCCTGTGGCAGCGTGGGCTCCGGAGTGGATGGCCGTTCTCAGCACAATACCTGCTACGTCCCCTCACCACCTTCCCTTCCCTTGCCATGTGCATGAAGTGTCCAACACATCTGTGAACTCTCTGAAGGTCAAAGCAGATGAGATCCGTGAACAGATTCTCTAGGGTTTTTTAAAAAATGCTAATTTTTTTTTAAAATTCATTTAGTAAGGCTTGTAACTGAGTTTCCCTCGGTGACTAACAAGTTAAAGTGTAAAGGTTCCGGGGGACCCCTGGTGCAGAGTGTTGCAGGTGTGTGTCTTCACTGGAAAAATCAGCCCCCTCCCCTAATTCAGCATTGATTATCTTTGTTAAATGTTGGCAGGACGCAATCATTTGGGGTCTTATCGAAAGTAACCCTTTAAAGTAAAGCATGTGCTGTCCACTCAAGGCTTACTCATGGTCAACCTCTCATAAGAGCATAAGAGAAGCTAATGTTGGATCAGGCCAATGGCCCATCCAGTCCAACACTCTGTATCACACAGTGGCCAGAAATACCAGGTCAAAGTTATAGAAACAGCCAGGGGAACGTTTTGTATATAATGCAATAGATACTATATTGAATTTTTATACGAAGTGTAAATTAATTTTTAAAGTGCTTAATTCATAAATTTATAAAATACCACCTATTAATTCATACGTAAGAATCTCAAGGTTATCAACAGATCACAATACCTTAAGAGAATCACAATACATCAATATATTAATGAAGCTTCCAGCTTGAGTCTTTGTTTCGCTCCTAAACTTCCTCAGAAGTAAATTCTCTTATGACTTCCTCAGAAGTGAATTCTTTTATTCATCATTTTGCATTTAGTGAGTGTCGTCCTTTTATTTTCCAAGGTTTTTCTCTCCCTCTGCTTATCAAAGCTTATGTTCCAAATAGGAAACAACAACCTTCATATCAGGCTCCGGTCCAGTCTGCTGCACGCTATGAAATGCTAGAATGCCTTCAATATAGTATCTATTGCATTATATACAAAGCGTTTCCCTGGTTGTTTCTATAACTTTGATCATTTATCAACTGGGAGGTCTCTTATATATTACAAAAATACCAGGTGCCACCAGGAGGTCCACCAGTGGGCCCAGGACACTAGAAGCCCCTCCCACTGTTGCCCCCCCAAGCACCAAGAATACAGAGCATCCCTTACCCCAGACTGAGAGTTCCTGTCTATACTTCTCAAGGGTTTTTCAAGTCCAAGGATGAGCACCAGTGGGGTTCTTCCCCTGCATGGAGACCCAAGTCTTCCCTGGTGGTCTCCCATCCAAATACTAACCATGGTCAGCCCTGCTTAGCTTCCAGGGTCTGGCAAGACAAGGCTAGTCTGGGCTATTAGAGCTGCTACACAGAACCCTTAACAAGTATTCGTTATGCCTCCTGTGTTCAAAACACAACAGCCACGGCCTCTTTGCCTCTGGGTACCTTTCCAAATCTCAGCTTGTTACCTTGTAAAACCCGAAACGGTCTGGGGGCAGAATATCTTGAGGATCCCCTGCCTCCTGTCTGAACGGGCTTGGGAACAAGGTAATTCCCTGAGGCACCTGTTCTGCGTGCCCCCCGTCTTTGTAAGGCAAGTTGGCACCATGGGGAGTCTCTTGTCTTCCCCTCCTGTGGGGAACTCCATCTCTCAGCTGTCTATCAAGTGCATTTTTAAATCCTCTCCCTCTCTCTCCAGAACTCACGGGGCCCATATGGCTCTCCATTTCTTAGTCCATCCTCACAACAACCCTGTGGGGTAGGTGAGACTGAGCTAGGCAGGGTCAGGGCCACTGTAATCGTCAGAGCAGAGTGAGGATTTGAACTCTAGTCCACCAGCCAGTTTGGTGTAGTGGTTAAGTGCGTGGACTCTAATCTGGGAGAACCGGGTTTGATTCCCCCACTCCTCCACTTGCAGCTGCTGGATGACCTTGGGCAAGCCGTAGTTCTGATAAGAGCTGTCAGAGCTCTCTCAGCCCCACCTGCCTCACAGGGTGTCCTGTTGTGGGGAGGGGAAGGGAAAGGAGTTTGTAAGCCGCTCTGAGACTCCGAGTGAAGGGCAGGGGTATAAATCCCATCTCCTCCTCCTCCTTCCAACACCCATCAGAGCTCAGTCCATGAGCTACCTCTGCAAGCATGTCCCAGGCCAGCTGGGTTTGAGCAGAGGTGTCCTCCTGTGCATTGGTCAGGGGCAGATTGTGAGCCGCTCTGAGACACCTCTGGGTCTCAGTGTCCCTACACATCCCTCTGGGAAGGGCTCGCTCAAAGTGAAAGGTCTGAAGAGGGCTGTTTTGGATCAAAGAGTGCACCACTGCAGTTGGAGAAACTCTCTTCTCCTTTGAAATGTTTTTTTTGGGGGGGGGGGATTTCTCCACAATGAGTCGAGTCTGGATGCTTCCATGTGAACTGGAAGGCAGGGGGATGGCTGGTTATGCAGAGGTGACCCCTTCCGTTTGAGAAAGGTTAGCGTAGGGGAGGCTGGAACACGCTGGGACAGAACACTTTGGAGTGGGAAGATGAGTCGGTTCCTTAAAGCTTTAGTCATGGAATCAAAAAGCCCCATTTAAAAAAAAATAATCCACAGACATTTTAAATCATAGAGCTGCCAGTTCCTTTAGGTATGTATCTCCCCGCCCCCTTAAAGCTAGTTGGATTTTCTTGTGGCATGAGACATACACCTTCTGCTGTCTTTATTTCTCAAGTTTCCTTTCTCATTTGCTTTCACCATTGTGGAAAACAACTGCCTTATAAGGTAGGCCAGGACCGTCAGTCCCATGCTGCAGATGGCAAGTAATGGCAGAGGCAAGATTTGCGCTCCGGCAGTAAGGCCCCACCCCCCCGCCCAATGAGAGACTCAGGGAGGGGGGGATTTAAATGCCTGGGTTCCCTGCCCGATCTTCTCCAGCCAGCCTGCCACGGCAGGTTGGCTGGAGAGGGGACTTTCCCTCTGAGCCTCTTCAGGGAAGGGGGGGGATTTAAACTCATTTGCGTATGCCTTAACTCATTTTAAACATGCCTGCCCTTTGTCAGGGGGTGTAGCATATGCAAATGAGCTCCTGTGCCTCTTTTTCTAGGAAATGACCCCTGAAGATGGTTCTGTTTCATTTGGAAAACCTGAGTGGGAATGGAGGACTCTGGGGGGGCACATGTGACTTGCCATACTTGGAGTGGGGCTGTGGCGCCGTGGTAGAGCATCTGCTTGGCAGGCTGAAGTTTACTGGCATCTCCAGTGAAGGGAGTTGGCTGGCAGCAGGCGATGTGAAGGACCTCTGCCTCGAGTCTCCGGAGAGCTGCTGCCAGTCTGAGTAGAAGATACTGACCTTGATGGCCCAGTGGTCTTGATTCAGTATAAGGCAGCTTCCTGTGTCACACCCTCCTCGGAAAGGGATTCTCTGGTGTGTGGCAGGAGCTATCAAGCTGAAAATAAGGAGGGGTCTGTGAAAAATTCTACATCAAAATATGAGTCGTTGGGTTGATTAAGGTCTGCAACGGCTGCACTACACTGCAGTAAATTCTGCTTATTCATTTACTGCCTTCCTTTCTACCATGGCTTTCTTCCCAAATGGGACCCAAAGCAGCTTACGTCCTTCTCCGTCTTCTCCTCACAACAGCCCTGCGAGGTAGGTCAGGCTGCACGTGTGTGACTGACTCAACAGGTTTCTGTGGCAGAGGAGGGATTTGATTAAGTACTCAAAAGGCTGAGTAGCAAGAACAGGAAAAAATAATATAAGTATTTATTGCACGGTACACCAGATAAAGATTAGAAACACATACATGAAAAATTAAAATGCCCTATACAGCAACCTATTAGACTTGCACATACAGTGATTACAGGATTGCTGCTTTCCTTCCTGGTTCACATTTGCACGCACCGAGCAGACAGAGCTACGGCAAAGGACAGAATATTGGCTCAGAGGCATTATCCTTGATGAGTGCTGGCGTCTTATTATTTACAGGCCTGTTTCACAATCGTTATTTGGAGCCTCACCCCGTAGTGAATTATTTATAACCTGCCCAGCCCTGAAAAGATCTTCTAGTTTTTATGCATGTGCAACACAGTTTAGACCACCATAGAAGGCTCTTAGGGCCAAAATGCATCTTGCTTAGTTGGTTGCATATTATCCTCATATGAAACCATTGTTGGCATCTTGTAATCACTGTATGTGCAACTCTAATAGGTTGCTGTATAGGACATTTTTCTTTTTTATGTATGTATGTTGCTTTTAATCTTTATCTGGTGCCCTGTGCAACAAATGTTTGTATTATTTTTTCATGTTCTTGCTACTCAGCCTTTGGAGTACTTAACTGGATCTTCAGGTTGGATTTGTTTCATAGTATCAGAGGAGGGATTTGAACCTGGGTCTCCCAGACCCTAGGGGCTGCGGTGGCTCAAGTGGTTAAGACGCTGAACTGCAGACCGGAAGGTCAGTAGCTCAGCAGTTCGAGACCCGAGTGCTGCATGATGGAGTGAGCTCCTGTCTCTGGTTCCTGCCAATCTAGCAGTTCGAAAGCAAGAAATTGCAAGTAGATAAATAGGTACCACTTCGGTGGGAAGGTAACAGTGTTCCATGCACCTCGGCATCTAGTCATGCCAGCCACATGACCACAGAAACGTCTTTGGACAGCGCTGGCTCTTCGGCTTGGAAACGGAGATGAGCACCGCATCCTTAGAGTCAGATTCGACTGGCTTTCGAGCAAGGGAAACCTTTCCCTCACAGACCCTCGTCCGACACTGCCTACTCCATCACACTGGCAAGCCTGTCTATATTTAATTTCCTCTCCACCTTTTCAGCCAGAAGGATCCCTCCACAATTGCTGATGTAGAACAGTGAAATGCCATTTCCCATCTTTCCTGACATAACACAGCCTCCCGCCCAGCTCTCAGTGTCTGCCACCCGCCTGTAGTCCTTGGATGGAATGGGATAGAAATCAAAACCAGAAGGCTTCCCATTACGGTCGGCATTCTTTACTACAGTGAGCAGCGTCGAGTGGTAAGTTAGTTTCCTCATCTTGTCGGTAAGGCCGGTCCTGGGATGTTTTGGTCCCGTCTTTCTCGACGTCTCCTCATCTCCTCCAGGCAGTAGAATCCAGACGCCACGTGATGCCTCCTCTTGGGCTACAAGTTTGTCGCAGGCTCCGAGGCTGACGTGTCTGAGACAGGGCTGTCTGTCCTTGTTAGCATCAAAACCCCAAAGCCCATCAGCAGAAGAGGAAAAAAGGCTTGCTCTGGGTTGGCGAGGTCTTGCTGTGGCTGGCCAGGTGACCTTCACGGAGCTGGCATGCTAGCCTCTACTCCTCTTCCCTTTTTAGCATCATTTGATTATGACAGGATAGTTCATTGCAACGGGCAGCCGAGCCAATTCCCGCAATGGAAGAATCATGAATTCAGCCACTGTGGCGCTCGGGCAACTGGCAAAACATAAAACCCCTTTCCAAGAAATAGATGGTGGTTACAGTCCACATAGCTGTTACTACAACACAGCAAGGCGGGCAATCCAAAGAGCCGGTAAAAAGGCCAGAAATACATCAACGTTAGCAGCATTAAAGAGAAAGCCAAAAAATGACAGAGACAGAACAGACTCAAACCTCCAGACAGAGATGGCAGATCTGCCAGCGCGGTCTGATCTGACTGCTGCTGAAATCCCTCCAGGAAAGTGATGCTTTTACTCCTCCCGAGAAGGTCGACAAAACAAGACTGATTTGCTTAGTAAATTGAATGTTTTGTTGAAGGGGAAAAAACCCAATGAAGATCAGCAAGACAAATGGCTTTGGTAACGGAATGGGCCTTATTGGTTGATTGCTGGGCTGCGAAAAATAAGGTGGATTCAAGCGTTCTGTGTTCCCGTAATTATCAGGGGGCAGTGGTAGAAAATGGCATGGATGAGGGGAGGTCTTGCATGTTGGTTATTGTTATTATACTTAGCTCTTCAGATTATTGGTTACTTCTCCGGAAAACTGCTTGAGATGGCTTGCGACAGTTCCGAATGAAACAAATGAAAACTCGCCAAATTGTTGGTAATATAAACGGTCCCATGAAAGGCACAAAACCCAGCATGGCAATAAAAGCCTGCAGTGTTCCCTCTAAGCTGAATTAGTGTGAACTAGCTCACAGTTTTTTAGCCTCCGGCTCACACATTTTCGTCTTCGGTCAGGAAGGATGGCTGCCAGAGCAAACTAATTGATGCAGCAACTAAATCGCTCACTCTCGACTTTAATGCCGGTCGCTCACAAAGTAGAATTTTTGCTCACAAGACTCCACAGTTTAGAGGGAGCATCAGCAGCAAGATGAAGGCTGGCCCAGAGCATCCGCCTACACCAGCACAGACTAAGAACAATCTATCCAAGCATCAGGAGAGTTGTATGAAACGAACACAAAATCCAAACAGCAGGACCAGTCCCCAAAGACAACTACAGACAAATGAGGGGCTTGAGGGGCTCAAAGCAGCATGTAAGGGCATCATGCGCTGCTCCCTGTGCAACCGTCTTATGGGGTGAACTGGAGGGCATCACGCGTATGGTCCCCCCCAAACCTGGATCAGATCCTGCCTGGTCGCCTAGAAACAATCGTTCCTCGCCACTGGTGACCAAGCTACTGGGTGTTGACAGGTCTGGTGTAGTGGTTAAGTGCGCAGAGTCTAATCTGGGAGAGCTGGGTTTGATTCCCCACTCCTCCACTTGCAGCTGCTGGATGACCTTGGGCAAAGCCATAGTTCTGTCAGAGCTGTTCTTTCAAGGGCCATCCTCTCAGAGCTCTCTCAGACCCACCTACCTCGCAAGGTGTCTGTTGTGGGGAGGGGAAGGGAAAGGAGTTTGTAAGCTGCTCTGAGACTCCGAGTGAAGGGCATGGGGTATAAATCCAATCTCCGCCTCCTTGATCAATTCTTGGCCTTCGAAATAAATTCTCACTCAAATTCAGGTCTGTGTTGCTGACTCGGTTGTCTGCTTCCAGGTGGAAAGTGAGCTGACTTCAGAAGTGTAGGATCAGAGTCTTACATCTCCCCCTCCATTCCAGTCAGTACTGTAATGGGGGGTGATGGACCTTAATTTGCTCTGGAGTGCTTTGCTGAATGGGTGCCAGAACATTTAGCGTCTCAGTGTGTGAGATTAAACATTCGCAGGGGAATAACGCCCCTGATTCCCTGAACAAAGCTGGGGTACTTACGGACCTCCTGGCTGGAGGTTTGATTGCTCTGGGACTCCTTCTCTTCCCAGTGGTTGCTCTCAGGCATTTCCCTTTTTTAAAAAAATGAAGCTTTTAAGATTCCCTTGTCAGTGAGGAAGCTCTAATAAGGCCTGTCCTCTTCTAGCTTTCAACGGGCTGCAGAATAATGTTGGCTGTCTTTCTCTTGCTGGAAAAAGGCACCAATGTGTGAGTTATTGTCAGGGTCAACAGCAAGCAGGTCCAAACACAATCTCCTGGAAAGGCTATGTTTTATTAGAATACTAGTCTGTTGCCAAGTGGTACAGGTACATTGTCAGGAATAACAATGGCTGCAAGGGGCTCCATACATATACTATGATGCTACATCTAGCTAAGCAAATGAAATCCAAGCGCGCACGCGGGAATCCTCCTGGCGGGATATTATATCATGAACGGGAGACTCACCCCAATCCCATGAGAGCAGAAATATTCACACCCGTAGTGGAATTGAAGCCCTCCCCTCCCTTCAAGGTTATACCGATAGCGCCATCTGGCTGAGCCAGTTTGCACGGGGGGAAAAGAGCGCCTCCCTTATGTTACCTACAGTAGCCAAGCAAAGCAAGCATGTGCGGTTGCGCAAAGGCAGGGATGAAGGTAAACAAAGAAAGCATGGCAGCTAGCTGACATTCTGACACCTCAAAAGAAAATCAGCCCCCTCCCGGAATGCCCGGGAGACCTCCCGGTTTCCCCGGGAGACGTTCGTGAAAATCACGCAAGAGGTCAGGGGCCCGAATATCTCCTACTTCCACCCATTCTCGGTGCTGGGGACCAAAATGCACCGACTCCACAAGGTAGTACAAACGTCCACTTTTTAGTTTAGAGTCCAAAATGCTAGAGATCTTGTAATGTTCTTCACCCTCCACCAAGAGAGGGGGAGGCACCGTCGGTTCAGGGCGCCATCGGGCTTCAAAAGGCTGAAATGGAAAATTGGATGGACATGTTTTAGATTTTTAGGTAAATCCAACTCTACAGTCACATCAGTAATCAGCCTTCTCACTTTAAAAGGTCCGATGTACTTCCACGCCAATTTCCAACAGGACTGAGAGAGTCTCAAGTTCTTGGTGGACACATACACATAATCTCCAGGCTGCAAAACCCATCCCTCCACCCTTTTCTTGTCAGCCTGGTGCTTGTAAGCTGCCTTGGCAGCCTCCAGTGTTTCACAGATTCCTGGCCAAGAGTTTCTCAGCGTTGCACACCAATCTCCTGCATCACCCCCTTCCCCCGAAGAGGTGGTGAGGAAGGGGACTGGGGGGGGGGCTGTCATAGCCCAGAGCAGCCTTAAATGGCGAAACCCCCATAGATGAATGGAAAGCGTTATGATAACAGAATTCAGCCAAGCAAGTTGAGAGTTGGTGAAACAGCACAGATATTGCTCTAGTGTTTGATTCACTTGTTCTGACTGGCTGTCAGTCTCTGGGTGGTAAGCACTGCTTAGGGCCCATTCCACCCCCAAAAGGTCCATTAGTCCCCCCCAAAACTTCGACACAAATTGAGATCCACGATCTGTGATTATCTTGATTGGCAACATGTGAAGTCTAAATACATGTTGGAGGAAAGCTTTCGCTAACAATCAGGCAGTTGGCAAACTGGGAAATGGGATGAAATGCGCCTGTTTGGAAAACAGGTCCACGACTACCCAAATTACGGTCATAGACTTGCTGAGAGGTAGGTCTGTGATAAAATCCATAGAAATCACCTCCCATGGTTTGCTGGGAGTAGGCAGCGGCTTCAAGAGGCCTGGGGGCTTCCCCGGTCTAGGCTTACACATAATGCAGATTTGACATGAGTGCACATACAGTGATAAATCCTTGCACATGTGCGGCCATCAGAATTGATGCTGTAAAAGATGGAATGATTCTACAAAGCCCAAATGGCCAGCCGGCTTAGATCCATGGACTGCGGCTAACACGTCCCCCCGCAACAGTTTTGGAACAAACAGGTTTTTTTCTTTATACCAGCAGCCATTGTCCCTTTGCTCCAAGTCTCCCGTCTCCCTCACTTCATCCATGTCAGATTTTGAGAGGGCGGAGGCAAATTTGGCTTCCCAGCCCCCCACGGGAGGGGGAAGGGGGAGGTTTTCCCTCGATGGTGGTGATTGCTGCCTCCTGTACGATGTCACGAACCTCTGTCCATAGTTCTTCAGGCACTCTATCTATCAAATCCAGACCCTTGAATCTATTCTTCACCTCTACTGTATATTCATCAGGGATGCGATCTAGGTCAAACCTGAATGGCCTCGTGGTTTTCCCAATTTTCTTCAGTTTAAGTCTGAATTTTGCAATGAGTAGCTCATGATCTGAGCCACAGTCAGCTCCAGGTCTTGTTTTTACTGACTGGATAGAGCTTCTCCATCTTTGACTGCAAATTATATAGTCAATCTGATTTCGGTGTTGCCCATCTGGTGATGTCCATGTGTAGAGTCGTCTCTTAGGTTGTTGGAAAAGGGTGTTCGCTATGACCAGTGTGTTCTCTTGACAAAACTCTGTTAACCTTTGCCCTGCTTCATTTTGCTTTCCAAGGCCAAACTTGTCTGTTATTCCGGTTACCTTTTGACTTCCTACTTTAGCATTCCAGTCCCCTATGATGATGAGGACATCATTTTTTGGTGTTAGTTCTATGAGGTGTTGTAGGTCTTCATAGAACCGGTCCACTTCAGCCTCTTCTGCATCAGTGATTGGGGCATAGACTTGGATTACTGTGATGTTGAATGGTTTGCCTTGGAATCGGACTGAAATCATTCTGTCATTTTTGAGATTCTATCCTAGTACTGACTTTTGCACTCTCTTGTTGACTATAAAGGCCACACCATTTTTTCTACGAGATTCCTGGCCACAATAGAAGATATAATGGTCTTCTGAGTTAAATTCACCCATTCCTGTCCACTTTAGTTCACTGATTCCTAAGATATCGATGTTCAGTCTTGCCATCTCATTTTTGACCACGTCAAGTTTACCTTGATTCATAGATCTTACATTCCAGGTTCCTATGCAGTATTGTCCTTTGTAGGATCGGACTTTCCTTTCACCATCAGACACATCCACAACTGAGCGTCCTTTCGGCTTTGGCCCAGCCGCTTCACTCTTTCTGGGTTTACTTGTACTTGCCCTCTGCTTTTCCCCAGTAGCATATTGGACACCTTCCGACCTGAGGGGCTCATCTTCCAGCGTCATATCTTTTAGCCTTTTGATACTGTCCATGGGGTTTTCTTGGCAAAGATAGTGGAGTGGGTTGCCATTTCCTTCTTCAGTGGATCACACTTGGTCTGAGTTCTCTCCTGTGGCCTGTCCGTCTTGGGTGGCCCTCCACAGCATAGCCCATAGCCTCATCGAACCACGCATAGTCTGTACACAAACCCCCATCCTTCTTTTTCCGGAAGAGGACGGGGGCTTTAAACGGGGAAGCAGCCAGCTGGATAAACCCCCTGGCCAAATTTTTATCTATAAACTTCTGCATCTCTTCTTTCTCACCGGGGCTTATAGTATAGAGCTTCCCCTTCGACATTTCCCATTGGGAAGAAGAGCAATGTATAGATGAAGCAAGTAAATGAATATCAGCCAGTTATTTTTATATAATTTGTTTGCTTGCTTCTTTGCAAAATGCTTGGCTGCCTTCAGTCCCTCAAGCAGGATTGCGTTCTGACCTCTTCTCCTCCTAATTTTTTTGGTTCTAGAAACTGGCAGCGGAGTGCCAGAGCGCCGGATTCCCAGGCACCCTCGTTCCGTACAAGTGTGACCTCTCCGTTGAAGAGGAGATCCTCTCCATGTTCTCGGCCATCAAGACCCTCCACCAGGGGGTTGACGTCTGCATCAACAACGCCGGACTGGCCCGGCCAGAGCCCCTGCTGTCCGGCAAGACGGAAGGCTGGAGGACAATGCTGGACGTGAGTAGGAAAGAAGCGTGACTTTAGATGAGGCCGAGCCGATTCAAAGCAAGTTTGAGGTGAAGAAGAAGAAGAGACTGGATTTATACCCCACCCTTCACTTGGAGTCTCAGAGCGGCTTACAATCACCAGTCCCTTCCTCTACCCACAACAGACACCCTGTGAGGTAGGTGGGGATGAGAGAGCTCTGAGAGAACTGCTCTGAGAGAACTGTGGCTGACCCAAAGTTTCCCAGCTGGCTGCAGGTGGAGAAGTGGGGAATCAAACCCGGTTCTCCAGATCAGAGTCTGCCGCTAATCACTAGGCAAAACTGGCTCTTTTTCTCACAGACGTGTGTGCTGTTTTGCTTCAGATGATAAAGTGAAGGCTTACATGGTGGCACAGTACTCTGTATGGGAAAAAAGTTCCCTTCATGTAGAAAACTAGCTTCTCAAGGAGAACGTTAGGGCAGTGTAGTTTTTTACGTGAGGGGATTTTTTTTTTTTGAAACGCGCCTTGTGTAAGTTATCTGATTTGTCTACTGGCTTATGTCCAGAAAAACCTTTCCTGCACACAGAAAGCTAGCCTGTCGAGGAAACTGGTTGGCTAAACGTCCGAAACAAAAGCTCTGCGCAGTCCAGAATTGTGTTTCCAAGAGCAATCAAGTGGCTCTTTCTGGGAAGCCCACAGCGTCTAGCAGAGGCCAATCTGTGAAATGCAGCCTGTAGCCTTGGAAGTCATACAACTGGCTTCCTGCTGGCTAATGTGGTTGGGAGCTGGCATCGAGGCGGGCTCACGAGCAATGCTCCCTCTAAGCTGTGGAGCAAAACTTCCACTTTGTGAGCTACTGGCATTAAAGTTGTGAGCGAGCAATTTGGCTACTGCATAAATTAGTTTGCTCTAGAGCCCCATCCTTCCTGAGCGAAGACAAAAATGTGTGCGCCAGAGGCTAAAAAACTGTGCGCTAGCTCACACAAACTCAGTTTAGAGGGAACACTGGTCACGAGGCTTAATCCACGAGCGCTCAAGGCCCAGAAGGGCCCAAGCTGTGCCTTGTGGCTGCATAAAACCACCTAATTCTGTGACTGGTGACTACTAGCTCTTTCAGTCCCTCGGTCTGTGACAGTCTGGTGCAGTGGTTAGAGGCTTGGGAGACCCAGATTTGAATCCCCACTCTGCCATGGAAGCTCGCTGGGTGACCTTGGGCCAGTCACACACAGTCAGCCTAGCCTACCTCACAGGATTGTTGTGAGGAGAAAATGAAGAAGAGGAGAACTGTAGTGAGCGACTTTTGGGTCCCTTGAGGAGAAATGAGGGTTATAAAATAAACAAGAGTGCTGTAGGTGAATCTTAAAGTGCGCCCCCGTATGGGGTTGGCGGCTGGCATCTTAAGGGCACAGGCTGTTCCCAGGGGTTCCTGGTTGGCCTTCAGCATGACCTCAGTTTCCAGGGACCCCTGCTCCCCATTTTGCACCTCTGCCATGGACAGAGGCCTAACACTTCTTTCCCCTTTCTGTTCTGCAACTCCTGCGCTCGCTTCCTTCAAGATGCAGGCCAAGGACTCTGTAACCCCCTTCTAGCCTTGTGCACAGCAGGGGAGGCTTTGGCAGAATTCTCTCCTTGGTGCTAAAGACAAACTAAGGGAGCCCGTGTTACCCATATTGGGGGTTGTCTCCTTTTTAATTGGGAGAGTTAGTGATTGGGAGAGTTAGAGCTTTGCAAAAGGGGCTAATTGTGTGATCTCCACCAGCTCCTACAGGGATTATTTCCCTTGGAAAAACCCTCAGAAATAAACCCAACAGTGGCTTGACCAAGAAAGGTTCTTTTTATTGAAGATGAAATAATAAAATGGTGCACACATACAGAAATAGATGCACATGATAAAACATACACACCACACCAGCTACTAGAAATACACGAAAGAGTGGGAATGCAGAAGGGGGCAGTGTTCCCTCTAAGCTGAGTTAGTGTGAGCTAGCTCACAGTTTTTTAGCATCCGGCTCACACATTTTTGTCCTAGCTGAGGAAGGAGGGCTCCAGAGCAAACTGATTTATGCAGTAGCCAAATCGCTCGCTCACAACTTTAATGCCAGGAGCTCACAAAGTAGAATCTTTGCTCACAAGACTCCACAGCTTAGAGGGAGCATTGGAAGGGTTTTTTGGGAAATTATAGTTACTAGTCCAGAAGAGGAGAGATCTGTGGAGAAGAGGCTGTGAAATGAAGCAGCGCTTCACAGAGTGAGGGCGGACGGAGACCCAAATGAGTTTGGGGGCGAGTTGTCAGTAGGCACCCAAGACGCACACACACTGCACAGGGCAGAGCATGGTCCAGTCGCAGGGCACATTGCTACCGGAGGGCATGGTGATGTGACTGATGGGATTAGCTAGAAGTGAAACGATGTGTTGGGGAAAGACTGAGCAGCATTCCCAGGGATGCACAAAGACCTTGGGGAGACTTGTGATTAGAGATGGGCATGGGCATGGACCGGAAAAATGGAGGCCCACAGAGGTTCGTGAATTTCACGGACTATGAATTTCCATGGACTTCCCTGGTTTGCCAACCAGTTTGTGGACCGTGAGGTCCGTGATGGGCATTTAAATGCCTCCAGGGCCCACTTCTGGATTGCGCGTCATGCAGCAGCAGCACAATGTGGAAGCGGGCTCTGCGCTGGAAGTGGGCTCACCGGCAATGCTCCCTCTAAGCGGTGGAGTCTTGTGAGCAAAAGTTCTACTTTGTGAGCTACCGGCATTAAAGTTGGGAGCGAGCGATTTGGCTGCTGCATAAATTAGTTTGCTCTGGAGCCCCATCCTTCCTGAGCTGAGACAAAAAAAGTGTGAGCTGGAGGCCAAAAAAACTGTGCGCTAGCTCACACTAACTCAGCTTAGAGGGAACACTGCTCACTGGCACTGCAGCGCAATCTGGAAGTAGGCTTAGGAGGCATTTAAATTCCTCCCGAGCTCTCTTGCGGGTGCACCACAGTGGGCACAGCTTCAAAGGGTTCCCTGGGCAAAAGCATGTATGGCCCACAGACCAGCCCAAGAGACCAAATGGACCTCCGAAGAGAATCATGGTCCGTGGGCAGTCTGTCAAAACTGCAAATACACAGGCCAGGCAAACAGACCACGAACTGGGGCCCCAGTGCGTCATGAAGTTAGGTCCATGGACTGGTCCGTGCCCACTCCTGTCTGTGATACTTTCATGAGTGTAGCCAGGGCTATTTTGGGGCAGGAACGCACAGGAACGGAGTTCCGGCTGGCTCCCGAGTTGGCCACGCCCAGCAGGAACTAATTAGCATAACAGGCCACACCCAACAGAAGAAACTCATTAGGATTGGCTACATTAGGGGTGTGTGGCCTAACATGCAAAGGAGTCCCTGCTACAAAAAAAGCTCTGGGTTTTGACAACAAACAAGGTAAACAGAATAAGAAGCAGAAGGTGGGTATGGCTGGATGACCACGCTTCTTGTAACATGGGGGTGGGGCCTAATATGCTAATGAGCTTTGCTGTATGCTAATGAGTTTCTGCTGTTGGGCGTGGCCTATTATGCTAATGAGTTCCTGCTGGGCTTTTTCTACAAAAAGAGCCCTGAGTGTAGCTAATGGTTGCTTGATGACCCTCTGTGGTTGGAAGGGGAAGCTGCCAGGGATGGCCGAAAGGTGATCAGTGGCTTCATAATTAAGGTTAATAGGTCAGGGAAGGTCAGGCCAGGGGGGGAAATGATTAGTTTAAGATGAAACACAGTCTTTTCCTAGAGACCCATGATTGCCATTGTGCATGGTTTCAAGGTGAGGGCAGTGGTCGTTAGTGGACAAGCCCATCACACCTTCCAGGATCTCTGGCCTGTGCTTGCGGGCATCCGTTCTGTGCGACACCAGAACCATTTTGCAGACCAGGCGCTGCCCAGAAAGTGCTGTTAAAATGAAGGCTGCTTGGACTCATTCCTTTCAGAAGCCAAACTATACTTTCAGCAGAAGGGGATGTCTGGGGGCTAACACCGGTGAGGAGAAGCAGTGAGGAGAAGCCGCCTTCTACTGAATCGGACCCTCGCTCCATCAAGGTCAGTCTTGTCTACTCTGACGAGCAGTGGCTCCCCAAGGCCTCAGGCAGAAGAAGAGGTCCATTTTTAACTGGGGATGCCGGGGATTGAACCTGGGATCCCCTGAGGGCAAAGCAGATGCTCTGCCGCTGAGCCACAGCGCCTCCATCTAATCAGTCAGCCTAACCTACCTCACAGGATTGTTGTGAGGAGAAAATGGAGGAGGGGGAAACTGTAGAAGCGAGAAGGGGGTCACAGAGTCCTTGGCCTGCGTCTTAAATGAAGCGAGCGCATGAGTTGAATCCCCGTTGGGGAGAAAGTTGAGTTATGTGAATGAGAGAAGAAACTGGCCCACGCCTCTGTGGTTATAGTCCCCCACCCCCCCGCTGGGAAGGAGGGGGTTAAGGAGCCCTTTGCCTTGTGGAAGTCAGTGGGTTGGGCCCGGATTGTAGGCTCCTGCTCAGTTCAATCAACTCAGTTAAAAATTAGCTGGCGTTTCGCCTCTTCCCCACTTCCTCTCTGATCCCTTTTGGTTTATGACATTGTGGCTCAAAAGGGCCCGGGGCAGAGTCCCTTCAGGAGCTCCAAAGCACTACGGCTTACCCTTTGCACATTTCCTCTGTGTCTTACCCACCAACGACCCTGTTTTTAGGCAGGGAATTGAGGTGATAATTTGCATACCCCCCCCCTTTCATAATGTTGCATTGGCCGTTTTTTGGAGAGCCCACCACAGATAACAGAAGTACTTCCTTTTTCTCTGTCTTAAATCTGCTGTCGCTCAGCTTCATCCATCGGCTCTCTTTTAGTCCTAGCCCCCCGTTTGCCCTCTTTGGGCCTTCTTGCTGTCTTCCTCTTCACCCCTAACAGGGGTCATTTCGTAGAAAAAGAGGTGCAGGAGCTCATTAGCAGAACTTATTAGCATAACTTATTTGCATATGCCACACCCCCTGACCTCACCGGAAGTGTGTCAGAAGGCAACACCTGTCAGGTTCAACAGCAAGTAAATCTCTACACACGTTTCCAGGGAAGCGTTATGCTTTATTAGACTACAGGTCTGTTACCATGTCCACAGGTTTATTGTTAGGAATGACAATAGGGCGGAAGCATCCCGACATATAGCAGGATGAGGCAAATGGTTAAGCAAATGAAATCCGAGCGCGCGCGGGGGGGGGGAATTCTCCTGGCGGGAGGTTACATAATAAGCGGGAGAGTCTCAGTGCCCCATGAGAGCCGAAATATTCACACCAGCGGTGGAACGCAAGCCCTCCCTCCGTCAGAAGGTCAGACAGATAACGGTCTCCCTATCGCTGTTTACGGCAAGCGGGCAGAGCAGCGAGCAAGCTATGAGGCATGCGCCGTAGCGCCAGGGTCAGAGAAGGGATCAAGCAAAACATGGCAGCTAGCTGACAACACCCACTGCTCAGGCTCCACTGGACTGTTTTGGATTGCAAGCTATGGGGGGTGGGGAAGGTGCAGATATGTCCTTGCAGAGGAGGGAGAGCTTGTACCTGAAGGTGAGCCGGGGGAGGCTCTGCAACTTACTTGGCTGCTTCTTGCTCCTCGTGGCCCAACTGAGGGCTGCTGGGGGCGGGGCTTGTTGCATGTGCCCACCCCCTGGGCTCCTTACTGCCGGAGCTCTGCTCTTGTGTGCTCCCGCAGGAAATGACCCCTGACCCCTAACCAGATCCTGTGAGCCCATCCCTAGAAGAGCTTCGAAGTCAGATGCTTTGGTGTCCAGGTCTATCAAGTAAGCGAGATGGTCGTGTGGGGGGTGGAGTGGGGAGATTTCTTGCCTTGACGAAAGGTGCGAAGGAAGGCTTTAGCTCTTTGACTCGCTTTCACATCTTTCACAGACGTAGGCACCGTAGTCATGTCGGTGGTGACCAACTGCATGGAGGTTGTTGGGACCGATCCCGTGTCCCCCTCGGTTGTAGGTAGTTTTCCCTTCTGGAGAGAATTCATGCAAGTTTTGGGCAGCGCCTACCACCCAGAGACTGACAGACAAACCGAACAGGTCAATCAGGTGGTGTTGGATCCCCAAGCATCGAGAATAAATCCACGTTTCAGGAAAGCAAAATTTATTTCAAAGCTTTGGAAAGATACTCAAACAAGTCCTTTGTTAGGAATGGGTACAAACAGCCAGGGCAAGCATAATAAAGGGATTTGAACAAGGTACCGAACCAATGGATCACTTTCCCGCTGGTGGGTAAAAGGAAACGGTTGCGCGCTCAATCCCTGGGAACACTGCTATCTCCAGACATAATATAGGTGCAGTTCCCAAGCTCTAAAGGCAACAAGCTAGCATTCAAGCTCACCTCCTACACCACGTCCTCCAGATGTTTGACTTAAGCATTACAGCAGAATAAAATACAGGCTAGCAGGCAGAGGGGGGGAGGAAGAAACTGTACAGCCGTACAAGTAACACAGAACACAATGGCAGCTTGCTGACAGTGAATAGATACCCCTTAACACATGATATGAACACATGAAGCTGCTTGATACTGAATCAGTCCCTTGGTCCATCAAGGTCAGTATTGTCTGCTCAGATTGGTACGGTAGCAGCTCTCCAGGGTCTCCGGTCTGATGTCTCTCACACCACCACCTGCTTGATCCTTTTAACTGGAGATTCCAAGGATCAAACCTGGGACCTTCTGCATACCAAGCAGAGGCTCTTCCATTGAGTCATAGCCAGTGTTCCCTCTGAGCTGAGTTAGTGTGAGCTGGCCCACAGTTTTTTTAGCCTCCGGATCACACTTTTTTGTCTTTGCTCAGGAAGGAGGGCTCCAGAGCAAACTAATTGATGTAGGAGCCAAATGGCTCGCTCACAACTTTAATGCAAGGAGCTCACAAAGTAGAATTTTTGCTCACGGGACTCCACAGCTTAGAGGGAGCATTGGTCACGGCTGCTCCCAATTTCACTGGTTTGTGCTTGGAACATTGTTGCCCTCTAAGTTTCCTGTTTAATGTTGAGAATTTCTAAAACTTCAGAACTGACAGATGCCAAGTTGCTGCCGTTTCCCAGATATGCCTTCCTTTCTTCTTGCAGTTCACCAATGCACTTGAGCGCACTGGTTAAAGCACAGCATAGCAATCTTCCCATTTTGTGCTGAGTTTTAATCGCCGCGCGTTGAATTAAATCACAGCACAGAAAGCAACTTGGATGTGGTGGTGTCAAGGGTCCTCTAATGCACCACGTATTAATTAGCGCACCCATATGCTGAAGCACACGGTTAACTTTTGAGGTGGGAAAGAATGTGAATTTAAGACAGTGACACATGGGACGCGTGTGGCAGTTGGAACAAAGCCTTGGCATCGTGAAGAGGATTTCACTGATGCCTCGCTGTCACTTTGGAACGGAGACCAATTCAGGGAGAAATCTGGAGAATTTCGAAAGCCTTTGTCACCAAACCGGATGGACAGGGGGCCCCTCCCCTTGCTGTCTTGTCCGGTCTCCAGGTCTCCATTTCTCCTCCTTCCAAGCTGGCTCTTAGAAAACCTTTCTGCCTGCGAAACTTGCCCAAAATGTTCAAGCCCTTGTTTTCACGTGCAGAGCAAGGCTGCCCCCTGCCGGTAAGAGCTTGTCAGAACGGGCTGCTAGTAACAAACATCCAGGCCTCACTCAGCATGTACCTGTCTCGCTGCTTCTTGTTGGAATTTTATTCTGTTTCGTAAGCTGCCCTGAGCTGGCCTTGACCGGAAGGGCGGGATAAAAATCTAAAAAATCAAATCAATTCCTGCCGTAACCCTTCCATCAGTGCTGTGATGGCATACTGCTATTCCCGGGGACTGTCACCCACTCTGGGAGGGGGGGGGGCTGTCGTTCCAGTCCCAGAACACCTGCTGCTCCCAGGGACCGTCATTCCACTCTGCAGGATGTCATCTCAGTCCCAGAGCAGTCTACCTGGGCCTTAATCCAAAGTCCATTCCGCATTTTCATTGCAGTTTTATTTGTGTGTGTGTGTTGTGATGTATTTCAGTGGAAGCCATGCAAGTCAATTGGCATTCCGGGCTCCCATTATATCCAATGGGCCTTCAACCCTCTCCCAGTAGAACCAGTTTGGTGTAGTGGTTAGGAGCGCAGACTCTAGTCTGGGAGAACCGGGTTTGATTCCCCACTCCTCCACATGCAGCCGCTGGTGTGACCTTGGGTCAGTTACGAGTTCCCCCCCCAGAGCTGTTCTCTCAAGGGCAGTTCTCGAGAGAGCTCTCTCAGCTCCACAGGGTGTCTGTTGTGGGGAGGGGAAGGGAAAGGAGTCTGTTTGGGTAGTGAAGGGCGGGGTATAAATCCAGTCTCTTCTTCATTGTTCCCATTGGGAAATCCTGTCCTTCGTTTTAGTGCATTCTGGCAGCATATGTGTCAGGTCCTCCCAAGAGTGCAGGAGCAAATGCAGGGTGCTGACTGCCAGGGGAAAGCTGGGGAGGGAGGCAGGGAGGGGTACAGGGGAGTTGGGAAGGAGGCAACCCCTCCCCTGCCTTCAGCTGATTCCTCCAGATTCCCTCCTTCACTTGCAAGAAGCCGTCACGGTGTGTGGGCCCACGGGCAACTCTCATTGGTCAGCAAGTACCCACCGAAGCCTGCCCATAACACTGGCTGTGGATCATACCTTCATGCTGCTGCTCATGGACTTCCTAGAGAGGTCTGTTGCAAACAGGATGGGGTCTCCCAAGCTCCAAGGCAGTCTGCCTCTACATTCCAGATTCCTGGATAAAACAAGAAGGGGAGGACTGTTGTGGGCTTCCCGGAAGCATCTCGCTGACCACTGTTGGATACTGGGCTTAGAGGGACCTTTAGAATGATCCAGATTTTTATGTTCTTGACACAGCATTACGTACAATGTTCTGAGAACGGAACAGAACTGTCCTGTGGGTTTACCAACTTAGATATTTGCTCAAAACTAGCCATCGAGAGAATGACATTGTACGTCCCTGGCCACTGAATGCCAAAGTGTTGCTGCGCTTCTGGAATGTTCTAGCTTCCCTTTCCTGTCTTCTCTTTCAGGTCAATGTCATGGCCATGAGCATCTGCACCCGCGAAGCGTACCAGTCCATGAAGGAGCGAAACATTGACGATGGCCATATCATTAACATTAATAGGTGGGAGCAGGGGTCATTTCGTAGAAAAAGAGCTAGGGGAACTCATTAGCATAACTCATTAGCATATGCCACACCCCCTGACATCACCGGAAATGTGTCATAAGGCCACACACCCCGCCCCCAACGGTCCCGGCCACCACCGCCAGCCATGAGGGGCCCGGCGGTGGACCTCCAAGGCCGGCGGGAGTGCTAGGAAGCCCCGCGAAGGCCCTCCCTGGCCCCAGGCAGGCAGGGGTGGGGAGAGGCAGGGAGGAAGCAACTTACCCTCCCTCTTCTCCTGCCTCCTCCTGGCTGAATGAGGGCCGGAAGCGGGGCGGCCGTAAGCAGGGGGCGGGGCTTCGTCATCTTTTTAGATGTCATTGAAACAGTATACATCCTTTCCCCAAGGGGTGGAGAGACAGGGAGGCCAGGCTTGATGGCAAACCATCGCAGTCCTCGACCAGAGGCCAGGCGGAACACCTCTGTCTTGTGGAACTACCTTAGGTCCCTCAGGGCACATATGTCATTTGGCAGAGAGTTCCGCCAGGCCGGCGCCAGAATAGATGAGGCCATATCTGTCCCTCTGTCCAGCAACATACAGCTGAATGTCATCAGCATACTAATGACCCGAGACTCTGCGCCAACTGGGCAGATTCCCTTTCAGCTGCCTTCACTGCCATCTCATAGGTTTTCATAAACGCTTAATTAACCTTTAATGAGTAATCTTTAGCTGTAGGGAGCCATAGTGTTTTATAAACTGTTTCGTCTAGGCATACTTTTGTTTTTGAAATTTTTTATTTTATTAAAAGTAAGTTACATATATTTCATCTACTTCATTTGCATACATATCAGAGTCATTTCTCTCATAGTGATTTAAATACAAATTAGGTATTCTAGGTTCCTGTCTGTTCCTCTATCCATTTGTACACTTTTCCCCATCTCTTTTTATGTACCTTCTCATTTTTATTCTGCATCATTAAGCTTAGGTCGTCCATTCTGGCTAATTCTAATATCTTGTTCATCAGATCTTCCTTGGTAGGTAACCCTTCTGCTTTCCATTGTCGAGCTATTAATAGTCTGGCAGCCGTTATAACATAGCTAATTATGTATGAGTTGATTATTATATCCTTTCGGGATCATGTTTAAGAGATATATTTCCGGTTTTAATGCTACATTTTTACCCAGGCTTTTTTTGTATTACTTCTCTCACCATTTTCCAGAATTCTTGTATCTTACTACATTGCCACCACATATGGTAGAACGTCCCTTTACATGTTTTACATTTCCAACACACATTTGGGTACCCCTTATAACATTTGGCTAGCTTATCAGGCGCCCAGTGCCATCTATGAAACATCTTGTATACATTTTCTTTGTATGCTACCGCTCTCATGAACTTTACCGTTTTCCACATACTTGCCCACTTCTCCTCCCCTACTTCTCCTATATCTTTCATCCAGGTGATCATTACAGATTTAATTTCTTCGTCCTGTTCAAAGTCACTTAATAAA